AGCATCCACGAAACTGCCTAGGCTCCCACGAAACCAATAGGTACAGTAGGATCAAAAACCCATTGCCATTGTTCTTGAGGTCTCAGTAGTCCTCATTGTCCACTATGTTCAGCGAGACCGGTTTTAACCCGGGCTTTTTCAGACCCAGGCCAGCTGGCCTTGGTGGGTTCCCGATAGAACATCCCCCTTGTCTCAGTGTGTGGGTGCACCCCTCGCGGTCCTGAGTTCCTTGCTTGCTACAGCAGTTTTTAAAGAAACCACACTGATCCCGTCTGTTCCCTGTTAAAATCCTTTTAAGAGCTCCCAAGCCCTGTCCATTGAGTCAGATGTGCAGGTCATTCCTAACCTGCCTGCCTGTCAACACCCAGAGATCACCTGTCTCTTCTGTCTATAATCTCTCCAAGGACAAATCTCCATGTAAGCACTACCGGTATCCTGTATGTTTCTGCCTCTCTCATACCTTAAGACATGTGGCTAGATTCTCATCATAGAGGGGGGACCACCTCCTGTATTGTGTGACCCACACTGTATCCTCAGCAGAAGTCAGCTCAGTCAGGAAGATGTCCCTGGTATGCTACCACATCCCCAACCTAACCCAGGTAGATGGCAACCTACATTTCTTGTTCATTGTTCAGGTGCAATCTGAAGAATCCTAGAGGGTCCTGATATCTATTTTGACACCAAACAACTTGGAGAAATGCTACCTTACTCTTTTGTTAACTGAAACTATCCCGGCCAGCGGGATGCGAACTGGGGTCCCTGAAGAACCTAGGGGAGAGGAATGAAGGGGCAAGAGACACAAGAAATTATGGCAAGACAGGATTTCTGATCAAGCTGTCGCATTTATTCTTCCTCAGAAGCTGTTATATAGCTAACGGGCAAAGGGGGGAAGGGAAGGGTGTCAGGAAACTCAGGTCTGCTGGAATTCAGGTCCGGAGACATCCCTAGCTGGTAAGTAAATACTGAGGGTCTGTGATTATTGACTAACAAAGGAAAATGCTAACTGATTCCAGAGCCTGGTGCCTGCAGGTCTCTGATAGGAGATAAGATGCCAGGTTGATTTCCTAGACCCTGCAGAGGGGATTGAGGTAAATATTATTCCCAACTTGTGAGCTTAAGATGACTGTAAACAAAATGCAGATCTCAAAATACAGGTCTTTGCTTCCGGCATGAAACCCCACACAACTAAGAAAGAATTGTTTCTGATGGAGTATATCATATGGGTGATGCCCTAACCTTTGCAATAATAAAGAAGAATGAATACTTACTGAGTAAATTCTATATTTCAGCTATTGCTGCACTAACTTTAGTTTAAAATCACAAGTTCATGGAAGGAAGTGTTCTAAACGGTGTGTTACAGGTGAAAACCTACTGCCTAGAGAGAGCATCTTATTCCAGATTACAATCTCTGCATAGGGGAAGTGGGACTTTAGTGGTTTGACAGGAGAGCATGGCTCTCAGTCACCTTCTGTGCTTCTGGAACACAGGATCTAAAGTGCAGAGGTGAGGAAAGCAAAGTCTTCACATTGTCCACCTAGATGAGCTTATGGAGACTCAGCACAAGCCAGAGCCCCCCAAGGACAGAGTGGGAAGGCGAACCACAGACCAGATCTCCTGAAGAAATTTCCCCCTGAATGTGGACAGATCTGGGATGTATTAAAAGTATAAGATTCTATGAAAAAATATTTGAGGTGTGATTTCTATGGCATTGTAACACCATTTAGTGATCCACAGCCTTTTGTGATTTCCTAGCCCAGTGGTCTCTGACTTGGCTTCCAGTGTCGCTCCAGGACTGCTGGTCAAGTCTCTGAGCCCAATATTCACAGATAAAAACTTCATGGTTGATTTCCAAGCAGAAAAAGGTGACACATGGTAGCTCCAACCTACAAAGCCAGCATCTGTATGGTTTAGGTTGAGGAGTCCAAGGATATACTTGAATATATAGAGATTTTAAGGCCAGTCTATGATACAGCAAACTCATAACTTCTTTCCACCCAAAAACAATCACGGTTGTTCTAACCACAAAATATCAAACTGTGTTTCTATGTTATGGTGTCTCCTTTAAGGACTCTGACCATCACTGCACTCCCAGGGATATGGCTTTCTGCTTCACATGAGATCTTTCAGCCTAGAACGCCACACTCTGTTACTCAACATGTCTTAAACAGACAAACACTCTGTACATATAAATTAATAAAGAAAGGATGGAAGAAGGAAATAAGAACACAAGGTTGATAAAGGAAAAAAGAAATACAGGCAACAAGGAAAGAGGTCTGGGGAGTTTGAGATGTGTGCACAGAGGAACTGGAGATGGATGGCTTGACCAATTATTATCACTAAACCCACAGATGCCTGAACAACACCCACGAGTCAAAT